AATCCAAAGCAGGCCCCCAGGCTCTGAGCTGTCTGCACAGAGCCCGACGCGGGGCTTGAACTCACGAACCATGAGATCGTGACCTGAGCTGAAGTCAGACGCTTAACTCACCGAACCACCCAGGCGCCCCATAATTTCCCTTTTCGCGACCAAACTCCAGCCTGCCCCTGGCAGTCCCACTCCCCACCTGTATTCTGCACCCCCATCAGGTCAGCCTGTGTAGACCCGTGCCCTGTTTTCAGGACTGCAGAAACCTGCGAGCACCCCGTGAAAATCAAGTCATTTCTCATCAGCGAGAGTCCGCCAGCGACTCGGGGCAGAGGTCATGCGGTAGAACAGGCGGCACGTTTTCTGTGTTTTAATCTTTGAAAGAAGGGAAGCCGGTAATTACAAGTAAACGTTGCAACGACTGACCACAGCGAGTCTGGGCCGCTCTCTGTCTAGCCCCAATTTCACAGGCGGTCCGCTACAATCAGAAACAAGCAAAACTCCCTCCCTTCCAACTTGGGGAACGAGCTCATCTTCTAGAAGCGAAAAGAAGGAATTCACAGGGGACTCCTGCACGGCAGGCACAAAACCCGAAACCCGGGTTCTTCAAGTCTACCCGCTGCTTCGGCGCCCGGCGCAACCCCAGGAGGGAGTCGAGATTACGCTTATTATCTGGCGGGCGTCCCGTCGCGGAACCGGCTTCTCAGAACCAGCCTCCCGAGAAGCGCCCCCCGCACCCCCACGCTCTCTCCGCTCCCCTTCATCGCGGGTGTTTTCCTGGCGGCTTGCACGGCCGCTGCCCTGAGCCCGGGCCCCAAGAACCCACGCTCCCCGAGAGCATGAGTTGCTCTAACGGTGTCGGAGACCGTAAGCCTCCGACGAGGGAACAAAGACGCAAAGGGAGGCCGCCAGAGGCCAAAACGACGAGGAGAGGCGCCTCCCGCTCTCAGCTGGGCGCCCCCCAAGGGACGAGGGCTTACACCTGTCGTCACACCTGCCGGCGTGCGCGGGAGACCCGAACCCCGGGCAGGCCCCTGCCGAGGGCCGTACCTGGTACTGGGAGAGGGAGGGCTCCTCGCCCCCGCCGCCGAGGCCCCGCAGCCGGACCACCAGGAAGGAGCTGTCGTCCGCGTCCCACAGGAAGAGCTCTCCGCCCAGGCCCAACACCAGGTTCCTCGTGAGCAGCGGCGGCGACGAGGGCGACGGGGAACACGTCGGCTTCTCGGCTTCGGCCGGGCTCTGGCTCTGGCTCTGGCTCTTCAGCCCCTCGCGGAGCCGCAAGAACACGGCGTGGTTGGGAAGCCAGGACTGCCACGGCTCCCCGTCGCCCGCGGGCCCCTCGGCTGCCGCCATCTTGGCCCCACTGCGCTGGTCTCCCCAGTCGCTCCGCGCGCCGCAGAGCGCAGCCAATCCGCGGGCGGCCGGTCGCCCTTCGGCCAATCACCGAGCAGGCAGGCCGGAAGCACGCGTCCACGGGGGCGGGGCCAAAGGCAGGGCTGCGCGCCCGGCGGGCGTGTAGTCGGGGCCGCCGAGGCGGCTCCGTAGCTGCGGGAAGGCCGGCCCCCAGGCCACGGCCGGAGACTGTCTCTTATTGCTGGCTGGACACCTCCGCCTGGCTAAGCCTAGCCATCCCTCAGGATCTACCTCCCTCAGCCCGGGTTGGGCTGACGTCACAAATGCCACTACTCGGGGTCGCCCTCAACTGTGTCTCCGGGAGGGGTAGGCCGAGGAGACTGCCCTTCCCGGAACTCCCCGAGAGCGAGAGCTCCGGGCGCCCGGAAACTACAATTCCCAGGGCTCTGAGCGCCCCCAGGGGCGGGACTTCCTGGCGGCGACTCGCGCGGAGAGGAGATGGCCGAGGCGCCGGGCTCGGGGCGCCGCTCGCTATACAAGGCGGCGGGTTCGCCGTCCTGGAAAGAGGCTTTTCGGCAGGTGGGCGTGGGACTTGGGAAGCCTCGTCCGCGCCGCCGTTACCCCTACTCCGTCCGGGGAGCCGCCCTCCCGCGTGCCGGGCAAGGCAGGTGCCCGAGCGCCGGGCGGTGGCGGGGGACCTGGACCTGGAGCTGGACCTGAGCGGGACTGGACCGAGCCGGGCGCTCTCGGGGTTTCTGGACCCTGCGTGCGGGGTCTTGGCGAGCCGGCCTCGTCCTAGCACCACCTGCTGGGGGCGGCGGGTGGGCGCCAGGGAGGCGCTCGGCTTCCCTCCGTTCCTCTCCAGAGGGGAGTCAAGTACTTGGAAAAGATGCCTGTTTCTGCTCCAGACTTGGCTTCTGCGTCTCCGTAACTGTGCCTCAGCAGGGACGTGCGCCTGCTTCACTTGTGACCTATTCTGACATCAGCATGCTTCCCGTCATGTGGTCCACCTTTCCAGAAAGGAGTAGAGATCCTGTATTCTAGGAAAATACTGGGATGCTAGAAATGACGCTAATAGCAGAGGCTTGTCAACCTGGGCTGTGGACGTTTTGAGGAAGACAGGTCTTCGTTGCTGGGGGCGCTGTTCCCCGCACTGTGGAATGTTTCGCAGCGTCCCTGGCCTCCACCCGCTAGATGCGGTAGCCCCACAATTCAAGTGACAACAACAAAAAATGTCTTCAGGCATTGCCAAATGTGCCCTGGGGGCTAAAAATCGTCCCGCGTTGAGAAACGTGTCCAGGAAGGCGGCTATCATCGCCGTAGCTAGAGCAGCAGGGATGTGGGAGTCAGGACGCCGGCATTGAAGACAGGCTGTGAAATATGCCCATCTGGGCTCCGTAAACAAAGCATTGTGATTCCATCTGTCTGTGTGTGGATAAGGGCTGGAGAGGAATATGCAGAAATAATAATTAAGGTTACAGCCGAACGTTTCCTGTCTGTAAATTTCCTTTAACGTCTCAACACCTAGTCTTAAGAATTTTTTTTAAATGTTTATTTAGTTTTTGAGAGACAGAGTGTCAGAGGGGGAGGGCCAGAAAGAGAGGGAGACACAGAATCAGAAGCAGGCTCCAGGCTCGAGCTGTCAGCGCGGAGCTGGACGCGGGGCTTGAACCCATGAACCTCAAGATCATGACCTGAGCTGAAGCCGGACGCCTAACCGACTGAGCCACCCAGGCGCCCCAGGAATTTTTTTTTTTAACGGAACTGCTCCCCGTCTTTTTCCTTCCAAGGGATGCCTGGAGAGAATGAGAAACAGCCGGGACAGGCTCCTGAACAGATACCGCCAGGCAGGAGGCAGTGTGCCAGGGAGCGCTCAGAGCACCCTTCTGGTGCACGAAGTGATGGAAGAGGAGTGGAGTGCGTTGCGGTCGGTGGAGGGCCGTCCAGAGGTCTCGGCTCAGGTCAGGCTGGGGTGTGTGTTTTCGGGGAGGGGCTACAGCGCAGGACTGCCGGGTGTCCTCTCTCCCTGTTTCCCTAAGTCCTCTAACCCCGCCATCCTCCAGCTTTCGAACCGCTCAGCTTTCGAACTACCCTTAACCCAGGCTCCTCCACCTTGAACGTTAGACTCTTCTGGATTCCTGGTTCATGAACCCCAGACTGTCAGTGTGCTGTGTCACTGCATCTCATGAATCTAAAAAGAAAGAAATTTCACTGCTCGGCTCCCCTCCCCTGGAGATTTTGATTCGGCAGGCAAGGGCCAGGAGGCTCTCTCCTGTAGAGGGTCCCAGAGCTTTCTGATCCTAATCTCAGCCAGAGTGGGGGGCTGGGTGCAGACAGGAAACCGGTTACCGCGTACCAGGAAGATCGCTGGCTTGGAGGTCCGTGGTTCTGGAATCCCGGCCCTGGTTTTGCTCTGCACTCTCACCTCTCCTGTGCCCTGAGCTTCGCTTCACCTTCGTGCCACGAAGAAGGTAGCGCTGGCCAAGCAATGTGAGAAAATGCCGGTACGCTGCCCTGGAAACATCGGGGCTGTCTGTAGCCATGACGCACTGTTGGGTGATTTCCACGTGCGCCAGCGCTCGCCCCGTGTCTGAGTAACCGTCGGCCCTCACAGGAGCTCTTTCAAGTAGGTTTATTCCCGCTTCACAGAGGCCCGAGGTGAGGTTTACAGAGGTTCAGAACTTTCCGGCACTTACTTGGCTTTGGCAGAACAAATACTTAGCTGCTGCCCTAGGCTGTCTCCCCCCAAATTTGGGACCATTATTTTGTCACTGGGGGTTCAGTGGCTCGTTGATGGCTTCTTGGCGTGACCGTGTTACCACATCATCGCTAAATCCTGCAGAAGGACTGGACCGGTTTCCTCAGTGAAAGCTGACTTCAAGCCAGCCTCCAAGTAGGAGTCGGGCTGGGGCCTGCTGGCTGATTAGGACTTGAAGCCTCGCGAGCCCACTTTCTCTTGCAGTTGGAGGAGCCTGTGGACCTGGCTGTGCTCGAGGAGATCCAGCAGGAGCTGGCCGACCAAGGTGCGCCCTGGGGTCATCCTTCCGCCTGCAGGTCCCTATGCTAACGCAACGTTTGTTTATTTTCGAGAGAGAAAGAGGAGGGGCAGAGAGGGGGGACAGAGGATCTGAAGCAGGCTCTGAGCTGACAACCGAGAGCCTGATGTGGGGCTCGAACTCACCAACCGTGAGATCGTGATCTGAGGCCAAGTCGGATGCTTAACCGACTGAGCCACCCAGGCGCCCCGCTGCCCACTTTTCAGAGACGATTAGTTCTGCCTCCACTTCTAGCTTCAGCCGGGTGTCAGAAGGCCCTGTTTTGACTTTCAAGTCTCGGCTGTCTGCCCGAGGATAAGTGTTTTGGGCGCTGGGCCTTGTGCTCAGACTCTGCGTTCCGTGGTGGTGTTTCCCCCTGGTGGCTAGCGGACAAGGTACCCTGAGACAGAAGGCAGTGCTGTCGCGCCCGGGTGGCGCAGCTCGGGGTGCGGCCGGGAAGCAGCATCCGTTCCGTGGAACGCGGTCCCATGTTTATTCTGTGCGGCAGTTCCTTTCTGTTTACAGAGGAATAGTACACCGAGCCCAGCTCCCTCCCAACGTAACTTTATTTGAAAAGTCGGAGGTGGGCTGTGGTTTGCTGACCCCCTGCTCTGCAGCCTAGACCGTGAGCTCATCGAGAGCAGGGACCGGCGTCTTTCACCTCTGTCCCTCCTTCCTACCACCTACGTCCTGGGCATCGTGGCCCGCTTGCCGCATGAAAGAACACAGATTGTGCACGACACAGACCGAGCATAGGGACGCTGGAGAACAGGGCACTTCACACTCAGCAGGGTGGGCTGGGCGACGGCAGGAAGTGCCCTGTAAGTGTCCCCTCTCTCCAGCTGCCCCCCAGGGCCCTGACCCACCACGCTCTGCTCCCGCAGCCTCTGGAGAGGTGTGTGGACGTTGTGTCCCTGTCCCTTGTCCTCACCACTTTCCCGCCGGTGCTCACGGAGGACAGACAGACGGGAGGGGAGGGACAACAGGTTGGAGCCTGACAGAGCAGTAAATGGCTTATGATTGGTAGCATGATTTGGCCTGAAATTATTCTGTCCTGGGATGAAGCCTTCGGAGTGGCCCCTGGCGTGGGGTCGGGGTCGGCGAACAAGGCAGGTGGGGTGGGTCCGCCCTGGGTAGGCGGTGGGGTGGGGCCGGCCGGGGGTTGGGGGGAGGTGGGGCGTGGCCCGTGGCGGGGGAGGCGGGGCCGGCCAGGGAGGGGGCGGGGCCGGCCCGCGCAGCTGCCCCTTGCCTTGCAGAGCGGAGCATCATCAGCGAGTATGAGAAGAGCTTGCAGTTCGACGAGCGGTGTCTCAGCATCATACTGGCTGAATGGGAAGCAAACCCCCTCATCTGTCCTGTGTGCACAAAGTAAGTCTGCGAAAGGTTTCCAGCGTTATCGCCTCCCCCCGCCCCCGCTCCCAGGTGAGTGGCTGCACCTCCCCGCCCCACCGCCAGACACTGCTTACCTGGAGAGGTCTGCGGATCCAGGTCTGCTGGCCTCGGTCGTCTGTGACCCCGACTCTGCTTCCAGGTCCAACCTGAGGGTAGCCAACGGCGTGGTCACGTGTCCGTGTGGCCTGTACCTCTCCAATCAAGTAAGTTCCACACGCGCATGGCTGTGGCCTCTTCCCGCGCGGACCGCTTTCTTGGGGAGCCTCGGGGGCTCCCTCCCGACCCCACGTCCTACTCACACAGGCCCGGCTGGGAGGTTGGAGCGTGGCCGGCACTGCACCCTCCCCCCATCCCCCGCAGCCATTTGCTAAACACAAGGGCCCCTGGGCTCCAGATCTTTCCAGGAGTGTGCTTCGGAGTTGGGAACACTAGGAAGACAACCGTGTTCAGAACTTACGCTCCCGTGACCCCTTACCTGATGGGGACTGGTTTTCAAGCTGTTGACTCTGGGGTAGCTGGATTAGGTTGTGGCTTAACTTTTTTACTTCCTAGTTTCCGGAGTTGACGGAGCAAAAGCTTCGTGCCTGCATAGAGGACAGCGTGAACGCGCACAGTGCACACTGTCCCCACACGCCTGAATTTTCGGTCACACAGGCGACGGGAGAAAGGCCCACTCTTCTCATGAGCTGCCTGGTAAGCCTGCTGGGGACCCCGTGGCGAGAGTGGGCCAGTCGTAGGTTCTCTTCCCGCACCGGGAGAAATCCCACCTCAGAAACAGGGAGATGCTTATCTTCTTACCTCCTTTTAAACTGTGTTCTTTTGAACCGGGTAGGTGTTTAAAAGTGCAGTTTGTTCTCTGAGGGGTTTACTTGCCCAGGAAGATGAAGCCGCTGAAACTACCGGAAGGCCACCCAGGAGTGGGGAGCCTGGCCCAGAGTCAGCGGACATTGTCACACTCACGAGACCCAGACAGGCCGGCCCGTGTCCGTTGTGCAGGAGGAAGCAGGAGGGCGTTGGGTCACTGGGGAGACAAGTGCCCCTGTGAGGGGGCTGGACGGTCGGGAGGGAGGCAGCTGTGCCGCGGGCTCCGTCTGTGATGAGGGGACGTGTCCCCACTCCTGGGGGTGGGAAGCAGGCTCGCGTCAGGCTCGTCCTCCAGGGAGACCGAGCCGGCCCTGGAGTCCGGGTCTCTGGTTCCAGCGCCTCCGCTGTTCCCTGCTCGGGGCTCGGGCCGGTGGGGACCGGCTTTCCCGCAGGCGGGGTGGGGAGGACCCTGGGTGAGGTTTAGGTGGCAGGCGGCCGTCCCCCCTGCTCCAGCCCCTCACAGACCAGGCACCTCCGGGGGCTCCCGCTCAGCGTCCGACGCTCGAGGCTGGTTTGCACCCGTGACTGAGCACTGCCGCGTGCACCGTGGCAGCCCGAGTCCTGCTGTCCTTGGGCTCCCGCTGTGCCTGATGCCGCGTCTCCACGACACCACTCGTGCCTTCGTCCTTGAGGGCGACCCCACACCTTGACTGTCCTCCCAGCCCCAGCACGTAGGCAGGTGCCTGATGCGTCTGCAGCAACGGGTTGAGGTCGGGGTGGGGGCTCAGACGGGGCGCAGGTCAAGTGGCTTCGGCCCCCGCCTCCTTGCGGAGATGGGCGAGCCAGCCACCTGAGGCGCGTGGCGCGGGAACGTGAGCCCCAGCCGCGGGCTGGAGGGAGCGGCTGGGAGCACCCAGCGGCACCCCAGCGCGTGGCCGTCGCGGGCCCCGGTCCGTGGGGTCAGGGCCCCGAAGCTCTGAGCAGAGGGAAGGCGGGCGGAGGCGAGGCCAGCCCTCCTGGGCGCAGCTTGCCAGCGCGGCCTTCCCGTGGGGAGAGACCGCCATGGGGCCGGCTGGTGACAGAAGCAGGGTTGAGTTCATGTGCCCGGAGTGCTGGAACTCGGGTCACCAGGCCTCTGGCTTCACGCGAGGGGGAGTCCAGGACCGAGGGGTCAGGCTGCGGGGGTTCGGCCTGGATGTGGGGCGCGAGGCGAAGCCGCAGGTGCGGGCTACGAAAGGTCACGCGTGGCCACGAGGACACGGGAGGCAGGAGATGTGCGAGCGGTCTGGGCTGGTCACAGGCTGGAGGGCGCTAGACCCCAGAAAGCCACATGTATCCCCTGTGGAAGCGGCTGGGGACTCCGTGGCATGGTGGCCGGGTGAGCGGTCAGGGAGTCAGGGAGTCAGGAGCCTGTTTTCACTCCGATGCTTACCGGGCCTCAAGTTGGGGTTCTGCCCGTGGGGGGCACGCGTGGTCTGTACCTCCCTGCGGCACATGCCTGTTTGAGGCCCGGGGTCAGTGGGAGGAGCCTCACCTCCCCGCGTGGCCGCAAAAGCCACCAGCTGTCAGAGGGTTGAATCCGGCCTCTGGCTTCCCCCGTCCCAAGGGGGAGGGCGTTTGAGTGTCTCTGGGATCTGATCTCAGCTGGAGGCCACCGTGCTGCTGCTGGCAGCCAAGGCCAAGGCAGTCGTCCTGGGGCTGCAGGAGGGCGGTCCCCAGCACAGCCCCAGAGCCAGGCTCTCCATGCTGGCGCCACACCGCCCAAACCAGCGCAGCACAGATGTCACTGCTGATTAGACCTGAACCACACCCTGAGTTCTGTCCACATTCCAGGCTTGCGACACTTGGACCGCGATCCTCTAGAACCGGCCCGGCACCTCCCCGCTCGCTCCATCGGACAAAGGGCCTTGTAAATAGAAACGTTTAATTTATAACTTATTTTGTATTAAAATTTTCAAACGTCTCTGCTGTCGGGTGTTCTGTGATTCAGGCTGAGGGAAGGAATAGAAGAGACGGGACACCTCAGGGGAGCGAAACCAATTTTATTGTCCGTCATTCTGTTATACAAAATTCCAGGAGCGACAGAGCCTAGAGGAGGAGTCAACGAACAGTAAATAAGAGGGCAACAGAAATAATTTAAATCTGAATTATTTTCCATGATATCAGCACGAAAACCGTCTCCAAGCACGCGTGTCTAGCTCCAGAGTGGGCTTGTCCCCTGGCCAAAGCCTGCCGTAAACGCAAGGCGTTCAACGTCTGCTCTGGTCTGGCTTACTGGCTCTTGACGAACCCCTTCAGGTCTTCGAGAAAAGTGATGTACTCCCGGTGCTCCAGGGCCGTGCTGAGCTCCACCAGCTCATCGGCGAAAGTGTTGTCCACCCCCCGGTCGGCCAGGAAGTCCATCAGGTGGTCGTATAAGGCCTGGAGACAGAAACGCCACTTGCTACCAAGATGCCGCGTGTCCCCCCCCACCGGACCGGGACGCTCGCCCCGCGGGGCCCAGGGCGCGCCCACCTTCCCGGGGGCTCACCCAGTCCAGGGAGTCCGTGTTGAGCGTGTAGTTCGTGTCCTTCCACTCAGACTCGCCAACCGACTGAAAGCTCACTTCTCTGATGGCGAAGATGTCACTCTCGTCCTCCTCTTCCTGCCCCACCTGAAAGGACACGGGATTTGGGGAAAGTGAAGGGGCTTCTGGGACAAACCAGACCATTAACAGCTTGGGAGTCACCAGATTTTAACCTGCCCTCACCCCCCCCCGTCCTCCCCTGCTCTGCTGGCCCCTCAACGGGCCCAGGAAGGTCCCTGGAGGCCCTCCCCGTCCCCAGGGGGGCGGGCATGCCACCCTACACACCTCATCTTCCGGATAGTGACAGTCCAGAACCAGGGCCTTCTTGCCGCCGTTCTTTATAACCTCCACCACGAAATTGGGAGTGGACGTCAGTTCGGGCTGGGGAAGCGAGAACAAGTCAGCGCGTGCTGCGCCGGCAGGGGGGCGGGTGCCCGGACCGGAGAGCTCACCCTGCGGGGCCCCGATGACCACGGCTGGGGTGGCAGTCGGCGCTTTCAGACGATACGCGCTAGTGCCCGAAAGTGAACAGCCTGGAATGCTAACGGCATCGAGGCCACACGCCCGCTCATTGGGGAGACCGGGCTACCCTGTTCCTGAGTAGGTCCTTTCTGGACTTCTAAACGAGGTCTTCGAGGGCAGGGGGTCACACAGCTGGCGCGGCTTCGCACCTGTCAGTGTCTTACTTGTTCACAGAACTTGCCACGCTTAGAATTAAATCTGAATCACGGCCCCAGCTAAGTTAATTCACCTCCTCCCCCGGGGCCCGGTTTTCCATCCTCAGGCTGCAAAGCTGGCCCAGACCAGCAGATCTCTCTCCTTCCCGCTGACATTTCGGGGTCTTCCTCTGTACTGGACGGGGAGCCGTCCGATACCGGGGGACCGCAGTCGGGGTGGCTGAGACAGAAGCACACGGCGGGGGGGGGGGCGGGGGGCGTAATCTGTGCTTGGTCATGAGACGAGTCCAACACCTGCTTAGTCAGGAAGTCCGGGGACCCTGTGACCCTCACACTGGCCGGCTCCTAGCCAGGCACACGGCCTCTTAAGATGTTTGAGGACCGGGCACATCCGGGTCCGGCCAAGAGGGGCCGTGTGCCAAAGTGTCAGGTGTCCCAATCTCTGACACCCCAGCTTTGCTACCCTGGATCAGTGGCTGGTGTTTACCGCCAGCCTGTGACACGTCAGAACATTCCTCGCTCGGAAACACTGCAAACATCTCCCGATCGTAAGAAGCCTTAAAAGAGGCTCGTTTCTTCCCGTTAAGAGCACACAGGCCACACTGTAAGCCTACGGGGGGGGGGGGGGGGGGGCAGCTTCCTGAGTTCTGGGAAGGAAAGGGGGCCTCCCGGTGCTGGTGCTACAGCTGGAGAGCGCTGCTCCGGGAGGAGAGCCCCGAGGACAGAGGCCCCCTGCCTCCCCGCAGCGGAGGAATCAGAAGAGAACACGTTCCTTCTCCGAGGCCCTGGAATGACCTGTCAGCACTTGGATCCCGGCGGGTGACCGCGCACCCTGCTCACCTCCTGTTCTTCCGCCTTCTGCCCCTGGGAGGGCTCCTCCTCCCCAGCAAACGTCGGCGGGATGCTGTTGTTAATGTTGAACGTCACCGTGATCCTACAGAGGCGAGAGAAACCTCAGGAAGGGCTGTTTTCACTCGGTATTTAGCTGAGTAAAGTGCCGAGCTGTGCTACAGTTACAAATGCCGATGGAAACAATGTCTCTGATGCCACGGGCTTGACTGTACAGTTTCCCGAACAGCCGGGTGGCTCGGGCCCCAAGATGGACTTAGCAGCCGTGACTGTGCCCCCCACGCGTCAGCTGCCGGAAGTCACACCAATGGGCCCCGACCGGCCCCACTTTATCTCCACCAGATCCAGTCCTGTGTGGGCCCCTTCGGGCCGGTGGCGCCCCAGGGCCACACCCGCTGGTTATCCCCCCAGGGCCTCCGCCCACCCTGCTCTTGCCCCGGGCGCCCTCCAGTGGCAGTGACTGAGAAGGAGCTGGGATGGCAGAGAAGAAGCCTCTGGGGAAAGCTACCCCCAAGGAGGGGGGGGGGGCAGAGCAGAGCGGCCTGAGGCTAAGGACCAAGAGAAGCCCGGGGGGCTCAGTCAGTTAATAGTCTGACTCAATTTCTGCTCTGGTCATGATCTCAAGGTCCGGTTCGTGAATTTGAGCCCCAGGTGGGGCTCAGAGCCTGGAGCCTGCTTCAGATTCTGGTCTCCCTCTCTCTCTGCCCCTCCCCTGCTCAGCTGCTCTGTTCTCTCTTTCAAGATAAATAAACTTAAAAAAAAAAAAAAACAAAAAAAACAGCAGTGCAAGTTTCACTCACACACCAGGCCAGAAACACCCAGTTCCTGACAACTTTAAGGCGCAAGGATCCTCCTCACCTGACAAATCAGGCCCCGAGCCCCGAGTGGAAACCGCAGCGAGGGGACCGCAGAAGCTGTATGGCTCACCCGTCACCCCTGCCCGCCACCCCCTGGAGCTGCAGAAGCCCCCTCCTGCAGGAGGGCCGGCTGGACGTTCAGCCACAAGACCTGTCTGACCCGCCCGAGCGCTGTCCGAGGTGAGCCCCTGGGCACAGAAATGCCTTCGTTCACGAGAACCTCATGTAGAACGACCCCAAACCGGCTGCGACTCCACTCGCCCCAGGAAAACGGTTTTGGTGACGTCACAGAGCACACCGCTGACCCTGGGGGACAGGACCCACTCTAGGCAGAAAAACCCAAGAGTCAGAACCCTCCTTTACGACACGTATGAAAGCGGACTCAGAACGGGGGGGGGGGGGCACACATCTGAACTGGGCGGAGAGCCCCCCACCTTCCTGGTGGCCACACTCACTGCACCGTATCCTGTCCTACAGGCGAGGCACAAGGTTTGCGTTCAGGGCGCAGGGACCCCGATCCTCAGCCAGAGCCCGCGGAGGCGGCGGCCAGCGCCCTGGGCAGTCGGGGTCTGCGCGCCCAGCCTCAGCAGGAAGGACAGCCGGCCTCCCAGGCCCACGGGCCTCTAGCTGCCAACTGCCGTGCGGCTCCCTCGCGGTCCCGATGAACGCAGCACCGGGCGGGCCCACTCGGGGGGCGCTTCCCCGGACCCCAGGCCCCCGCACTTACTTTTCTCCAGCCACTTTCCGCACTAACGTGGCTTCTGTCCCGTTCACTTCCAGCTCCCAGCCCCCAGACATCTTGGGGAGAGACCCGTGCTTCTGGATCTTCTTCTCCTCCTTAATCTCGTCGTTCAGGAACTCGATGAAAGCTTTGTCTCCTACGGTAAGAGTCCGTAAGACACAGAAAAAGAACCAGTCCGTCTAAAACCTGAGACCTGGGATCTTTTCTGATACTTGTGCTGCTGCCAACCAGGCTCTACAAACGGGGTCCAATTCCCACCCGTGATGCCTCAGTTTCCCCATCTGTAAAAATGCTGGAAACACTTCACCAGGAAGCTGACCTAGACTCTAGGAAAACGATTTTGCCAGGCTTGACCACAGCTGGAACCCGTGACCCCCGGGCTCCCCAACGGTCCATCTCGGAGGCTCAGACAAAGCCGCCCGCAGAGTTTAATCACATCTATCCCCACCCGTGGGGGAAGGAACACGGGTTCAACCCGCTGGTCGCCCACCAGTGGGGGAATGCGCCCGACTGGGTGCCCAGGACCTACAGCGGAGGGGAATATCCCCCGCCCCCCGCCCGGTGGGTCCCCGGCCCTGACCCCAGCCCCTCGACCCCCAGCCCTAACTGCCCAGGCCCGGCCTGACCCCTCGGTACTCAACCTTCGACCCCCGCGAGCCATGGCCCTGGGACCCCCGACCCTTGACCCCCTGGCCCTCACCGCACCCCCTTGCCACTGGTCCCCCAGCCTCCACCCCCGACCCCCTCGTCCCCTAACCCCTAGCCCTGACCCTCGACCCCTCGCGACTCCCCCCAGCCCTTACCTCCCAACTTCTCGCCGCCTGACCCCCGACCCCACGCCCCCGTCGCCCCAGCCCTGACCCCCGACCCCGAGCCTCACCCTGGGTGTGCAGCGCGCCGCAGCCACAGCTGCAGGGCCCGCGGGGGAGCAGGAGGCCGGCGCGCACTCGGAACAGCCCGAAAGGCCGCACGCACGGCCGGGGCGCGGGCTGCAGCAGCGGCCGGGTTGGCGGGACGG